GGGGTTAGGGAGAAGAGGAAGGGGCGGAGTCCAGTGTTGTACAGTATCATGCTGCCCACGAACAAGACTTGACCTCGACTGCACATTGATCTTCATCCATGCAGCGTTGTAATCCTGACTCCAGCTCACCGGTCTGCATCACCAACACTGCAAGAGTCTATCCCCAACGGCCCAAGTCCCCAGACATGCTGCATTGCTGGTGGCAGAAGCATGGCCTCGTGTTACATGTATTTTGTTAGAGTTTGGCCTGTGCGCAATAACGCGCAAGCTTCCGGTGCTGGTGGGAGACGCGAAAGACGGTCTGACCGACCGGTAGCGTCAACGCGTAGGAATAGGTAATGGTGTGTGTAGCACCACAGTGCAGTTGTAGATCCATCATACACTATATTTAAAGTTAGTTACAGCAAAAGGCCTCACGAGCCATGCTGAGGCTGTGATGGAGAGATGGTAGCGAACATTAACACCGCCATCTCATCTGCGGCATCACGTGTGTGATGATACACATCTTTACACATCTAGTGTATGATCTACTCTACGCTAGCCCTTCAGGCTTCATCAGACCACCAACACAGACTACTGGTCATACCTAGATTCAACAGCAGCTAATGTAATGCATTGTAAAAACAATTACAATCACGTAAATTCGTCAAAGGTACCGCAATGTTATGCAGAGGCAGATTGACCTACAAGTACATTGTACATTGTATAAGTCTGGTTTTGTTCACCGATACAATGGACACACACCCTAGTGGCTGGATGTGCTCGAGTTGTGGATATTATCATAAGACACATTTCTGAGCAGATAAAGCACTCCTCCTAAAGTCAGGGAGTAGTAAAATACTACTCCCTGGTTAAGTCACTCCGTCCGTAATTGTACGACGAAATGAAGAGATAGGAGGCGTAGAATACATGTACATGATGCACCAGGAAACCGCCGTGCATGTAATTCTGTTTACTGTACAGTAAAACCTGTCAAGGCGACCACTCGGATAAGGGGACCACCTGTCCTAGAAGACCACTGAAACCACGACCAAGGCAAGGGATGCTATTTCCAGTCAATTGACCCTGGATAAGGAGACCACCTGGTGACAGAGACCACATTTTGAAGGTACCTTGAGCGGTCGTCTTAGACAGGTTTCACTAGTCACTCACTGTACATGATGCACCAGGAAACCGCCGTGCAGAATGTTCACGGTATCACGATATCGCCTAAACATGTGCGTGGTGGCCTGCGAAAGCGAAGGCTAGTTTGTGTGTTTCTGAACATTCAAGCGATGCCAACGCGAATCCCGCGAATTATTATGTGGTGGCTGTGGAATGTCATACTACCTACCCTGCCATGGCCCATTGGTGCTTGCCCTGCGGGTCATAACAGTGACCGTGGCATGGTGTTGTGCCACGTTGGTAAGGTGTGTATCCTGTGTATATCCTGTCGCCAGTGGTCCGTGTACATGACAACATGATTGTAGATCCTGACCGCCTTCTACTAGCTTCTGTGCGCATGTGGCTGTAGTGTAGACCATAGTAGACGTACCTTTCGGGGGTGTCGGTTCTCCTCTTTCAGTTTGAGTTGAGGCTGCTACATACATGATGATACAGGTTCCATTGCAATACAAATTTTATTGCAATGGAAACTGTATGTACAATATAATGCGCGCAAACCGTTCAACGTTTGATCTAGTACTAGTAGGACCTGCCCAACTCTTAAAACTCAAGGTGAGTAGGGAAGTAGGAAGGCTACAAGAGTACATCAAGACAAGATAGATATTACCTCCCTACGACCCTAGCTAGCTAGCTAAGTTGCAGTTGTTTTCACGTGTGCACACTGCACATGGGGGGCATACCGGCAGTATCACGTGTACGGAGAAATGTTTCCTTCAAGTGCCTCTCAAGAGCTGAGTGTACCATTGTGTGCAGACATGTGGACTGTACAGGTATGTTCCTGAAAGTGAAAGGTGAGGCTGGGACGTGGTCCTCAACCTCTCTAGCGCCAAGCCTCGAGGCCTGTGTGAGCAAGCGCGTGTCGATTGGAAATAACAAACGATAGTTGGTTCCTGAGTGATATTCAGTACTACTACTTCGAAGTACTAGTATTATTGTGTGATTTGTGTGCCTGGATTGCTTAGCAGCGGCTGGTGTGATATCCCTGGCGCAAGGTCTGAATGGTGGTGTCGGAACTGAGACATTGTTCTACAAATCGTGTGATGCCATCATGGTCGCTGGTGCAGCATGAGCGTCGAATGTTGGTTGACGGCATGCACTGGGTGTGAGGTGGGTCGAAGCGGCTGAGGACTCGAGTCTGTGAAGCCCAACACATTTCTATACCTTGATGCTTCTATCCGGTGGACCAGGCCCTTGATGTCAATAGAAAATACAAGTTTGGACTGACAAGTTTGGACTGACCATTTATGTCTTGGAAGCAAAGCCTGACGGAGCCTGTCTTTTGGAGACTCGTCAAGTTAGATAGGCTGGTGTTGGTGTGTGCAGGGTGCGTCAGCGTCAGTGCTAGTGGTCCGCGCTGTGTGGTCACAGACTCACACAGTGCCAGCGGCACAGCGGGACCTTTGCGACTTCTGCTCCGCGTGTCCGAAAGTGGGCAGTGCATGCGCGCATAGAGACTGATGATCATTGAGGCAGACTTGATATCTGAGGGCCGTCTCCAGACGAGAGCCCCACCCGTCATCTTGCGCAGACTGAGAGCTCAGCTGTTCACCACGATCTAACGCATGGTAAAGTGACTTTTAGAGTGATGATGACCGGCGAAAGTGGGTCTTCGCTCGCCGCCTAGCCTCTCGATTTGCCGATGCTCTGCAACCCCAAGTAAAAGTGAAGGGAAACCACAGCGGTCCCTACCGGGTGCCAATGCTGGGTACGGGTGTCGAGTCCACTACTAAAGTGCCTGGACTGATTTCAAAATACTGACTCTGTGCATATGGGTCGTGTGTAGTCCGGCAGCACCGTCTGATCGCCTGATCATGTGCATGCAGCGTAGCTAGATGTACATGGTCCCCGCGCTTACGCACGCACGGGCGAGAGCAAATCGCCACAAGATCAAGACCAGAGTGTTCAGATTGTGTGTACTACACGTACCGATTTGCAAGAGAAGGAACTAACTTATAGTTTTCGTTCAGTGGCATCCGATTTCGGAACAGGGTCCAACGTCGTTTGGGGGCAGCGTTGAAGTGTCAATCTACCGTTTTCAGTCTAGCGGTGGTGGGAGTTCCTGGTGCTTTGGAGTGGCGAAGGAGCGTTCCCGCTTTACTTCTACAATCGGAACAGTAAAAGGTTGAACGTGTGAAGCGTTAGTCACGCTGTTTGAGTATTGTAAATGCTGGATATCACGGAGTACATGTGGGTTCTGAGACGAATGGTGGCTGCCAGTCGACTCTAACCACCGTTTGTCAATGTGGAGCCATCGTCCGCCGCCCTCCTGTTGACTACCTCCGCTCAGGTGTGGTCACGGTTGTGGCACTCGACTTCCAGCAGCGGTGCGCGGTGCGGAGCGCTCGTCAACTACACACCTCCGGAATGTCCACGTCACGTGGGAGCGTGTTGTTGCTACCGTTGTGGACGCTAGTGCTGGTGCTGATCCTTCTCAGCACGCTAACACAGCACACGGTCGTGGGCCAGACAAGTGAAATCGGTAAGACATCCTGTCTTCTGCTCTGTCTTTCCCCACTCGCAGTCTATTATATTACTCATCCGGATATCCCCTAGTTGTTGTTGTTGTTGTTGTTGTTGTTGTTGTTGTTGTTGTTGTTGTTGTTGTTGTTGTTGTTGTTGTTGTTGTTGTTGTTGTTTATTTTACTTGGCAGATTCTAACGGGCAAGTTGCCCAATAACAAGAAAGCGAAGGCAAAGAAAATAATAATAATAAATTAATAATAAAAGAAATAACCGGGGGCAGCAGAAAATGAATAGTACATGTACTTCGGAAGTAGATAATATACTCACACTCGTAACACTCGTAACTGACAAGGAAAAATTTACCAACTCTAGAAACCCCCCTTTCAAGACTCGGTGCACGCCACTGAGCATGGCATACTCGTATTGTACGTGTAATCAGTACCAACGAAAACCATGCGTCACACGTTATGATAATTCTTGACAGATCTGCAGCATGGTCGCTGTATACATGCAGCACTAAACTCTAAACGACTAAAGCCGTAAAGGTTCGCTTCATGACGGTCACTTTCATGTAACGTTGAGAGCAGCTGTGTTGATAGCTCTTGACTTTGTGTGTGATTTTGAATGGTAGGCCGATCAAAGATTGATAATAACATAATACCATGCAATCACGGAGGGATGGTGTTCGTGTTGATATCGGGAACAGTCCCGTGGTCAACTCGAGCCTTTCCCCATCGATAAAGATGTCTACTGCCCCTTTGGTGGCAAATGCCGGATGGGCACAACTTTGCGCCTACGGGACAAATATACACGCAAGGCGAGCCGGCCGTGATGTTTACCCGCATGTCACTGTCAGGTCTGTATATCAACCATTCACACAGCTTCATATCCATTTGACTGAGGTTACGCGATGCCCGATGTAATGCCGCTGCCAGCGCTCCATCGCATCAACAACACCTCTCAGGATAGGATGGGCAAGCCCGTGATTCAGTGGCGGATCCAGGGGGGGGCCCAGGGGGCCTGGGCCCCCCCCTTTGAAAATTTCGACCTTGGTCTAGGATAACAGTAGACTGTAGAATGAGCGCTCGAAATGACTTGGCGTATCAAGTGGGTCACGCGTGCTGGGTATTTTTATACGTGTCCGGGGTCACGCACTAGCATTGTAGTCAGCGCGCTGTGTACAACTACTGTACGCACTGCGACCTGTAGACACGGCCGCACTTCAAACATGTGAAAAACGTGCCAAAAATGCAGGGCCTGGTACTTTTTTTTATTATGCATAGCGCAGTGATCGCGTTGGGCTGAAGTCCTGTATGGTGCACGGTGCTGTCGACTTCGTCCTTCCTTTTTTCTTTTCCACTTGTCAGAAACTAAACGCTCTCTAGCTAGCTCTCTACTTCGCTTGTAGCCAACGGGTTACCTTCAGATATGCGATGAAGAGGAAAGCGTCTGACATCAGGTCGTTCTTCAGTGGACCGGTACTGGCGGTAGATAAGAGAGCTCGCGTTGAAGAGCCGTCCAAAGGTCCGTCGCGGCCGCTGTCGATCGAGTGGAAATGTTCCAGTGCAGTTTGAAAATGTCGTGAGAATGGAATAAAACTAGGGACCGGCGGATTCTGCTCGAAAAGGTGGCATATTCTGCTCGAAAAGCAGTGAAATTGGCAGAACCATACAAACCTTATGGCGGGCAATTCCTCGAATTCTGCTCCATTTTTTTATCCACATACCAAACATGCATGAAACCAGAAAAAGTACCGAATTCTGCCAATTTTTCTGCCGGCAGAATCCGCCGGACCCTAAAATACAACAGCTCTTCACAACTTCAGGACTTTGTTGTTGTTGTATTAATTTTTGTTGTTTTGTTTTGGGGGGGGGGGGCGGCGGATACCTTGGGCCCCCTCTTCGGCCAAGTCCTGGATCCGCCACTGTGATTTGCAATTACAATACGGGTGTCCTCTAAGAAGACTCCTGCTGTCATGTTCGCTTGCCCCTAGCACAGTCTTCCAAGCATTATCCCCATGCAGAGGAGTGCACACACTACACAGGGATCTACATGTACATGCGCATTGTAGCCAACTGGCTGACGACCACATGAGCTCAGATGGTGTCTGTCCTGGCCTGTGGTGCATGTGGATAGATCGTCTTCACTCTTCAGTATCATAGTTCCTGTGTTTTGGTGGTCAAGTAGATCTTCCACCAGCACGACTACTGGGTAAACACCTGCCTCAATCAACCCATGTATGATCGCACAGTGCAGCAGTAGGCATACGTATTGTCCAAGGGCAACGGGTACATAAAAGTGTACCGCCGACAGATTGCTCAGAGGACCACCAAACACCTAGAGGTAACTTAACCAAACATCAAGAATGACAGGCTGTTACTAGTTCTTGCTAAGCTGCTTGTGTTTCTCAAAACAATTGTATAGCCGGTGGTAACGCGGATTTGCGACCTTTACTTTACTAGTTCTTGCAGTACTGATCAGGTGTGTTAGGTGAGAAGCGGGAAGTTGAGGTTGGTCAGATCAAGGGGACACAAATACGTAATACGTAATACGTAATATGTATTGGTGTTGTATCCATTGTACTGTAATGCGGCACTCAGTTTTCTGCCGCATCAGATGCTAGACTAAGAGTTGGACCCATCTTGGTAAATCCCTTCTATTAAAGTGTCAATGGACAAACCACTGAGTCATGACATCGGTTTGTTTCCAGTGCCTGCGGCTGCTGCTTCTCGAGAAAACTCACCAGCACACACACACCACTGTTGCAGGGCATTGACTGTACATTAGTGCACTGTAATAACCTTCTGGCTAAGCCATGAATGGACTTGCTTGGCGGGTCGATAAATTATTTGAAGGTCGTTTGGCTATTGGTGATGGTCAAACTGTTGCATGTGGTCGTTCGGGGGGGGGGGGGGGGGGGGTGTTATAGTTACCAAGTACACTAACACCCCCGGGGGCTTATCATAACTGGAGATATATACTACGTGCATGTGTATATGCTATGCTGTGGGTCTTCGATTCCCCAACAAATGGTCCACTAAAGATGGCTGGCTCTGTACGCACTTTCTGATGATAACGAGTCAAACTGCAATGTCACCACCAGATTGACGTAATTACTGACCCCCTCGGATAGAGTCCAGTCCTATGAGCAGTAGCTGTGTATACCTCTGACTAACACCTCCATTGCCCTGCCCCATTCTCTCACCTGTCCAAACTCAGTTGTTTTCCCCTCCAAGTTTGATGAAGTAGATGTCAGCTGTCCCGAAAGTACACACCACACACAGTAAAAACCTGTCAAGGCGAAAACTCTGATATAGTGACCACCTGTCGCAGAAGACCACTACAACTACATGTATGTACAAGAGATGTTATTTCCAGTCAAATAACCCTGGATAAGGAGACCACCTGTACGCGAAGACCGCATCAATTTGCTGGAAGGTCCCTTGAGCGATTGCCTTAGGCAGGATTCACTTTATCTCAGTTGTGATCAGCTCAACCCGGCCTGATGCCCAATATACATCATGCATGGCAGTCCATGGTCAAGAGTTGTCCATCACTAGGTTGGCAAGGTGGTACTTCAGGTTCGTCTATAATCCAGTGTGCGTGTGTGTGTGTGGGTGGGTGTGCGTGTGTGTGTGCTCCCCCCCCCCCCCCCCCCCCCCCCCCACACACACATACCATCCCAAGTACATGTATAAATACATGTACATTCACTTGTATCGACACTGAGGTCCAGCGCCGTGAGAGAAAATGGGAACAGTCCCAGAGACACTTCCACTGGCAGACGATGCGACCAGCTTTCGTTCGAATAATTGCCGCCTACAACCACTATGTCTGCAAAGTCACCATCAAAGTTTTTGAAGGTTTCTGTGTTCGTGTTTTTTCTCTCTCCCAGAGAATGTGACGTCAGTAACGGCAGCTGTGACAGCTGATCCAACATCAGTGGGTGCCGGCAACACAAGTGATCCCGATGCAACGGAAGGTAGCTCGACAACACTCGCCAACACCGTGGACGGAAATGCCACGCAAACGCAGCCAGTGATAATCACAACCCAATCTGAAAATAGCACAGGAGCAGACATTGCATCTGCAACAAACACTCGACTTACGTCAGCGGTAAGCGTGACGGAATCCCTCGGCTTGTTGCCAGTGGATACGGACGAGACGGCAGCGTTCATCTACTCCGCAGCTGGATTCGGTGTGCTGATGGTGGTAGCTCTGCTCATCATCTTAGCAAGATCGTTCTACGTACACAGAGGTATGCATTGCAGCACATTAGCTAGATCATTCTACGTACACAGAGGTATGCACTGCAGCGCATTAGACTGCAAGCTGTTATTATTCTCCATAGATTACCTGAGACCAGATTTTTTTAATTCCGGCCAGTCCGCCTACTATCATTTCGTCTTGGGGGCTAGACAAGGGGAAGTAGCCATGTAGAGGCGTGAGCCCGCCTTTCGAAGACCAGATTGCTTCTGTCGATAACGCATTCAATTCTGAGCGTTTGTACACCATCCACACAGTCTCCAAACTAAATCTTTTTAATACATACTTCTACTACAAGCCCACAGGCATGCAGCTGAGTCCTGGGACTTTTCAGTTTTCACCCCGTGTTTGGGCTTCTGAACTCCACGTATTGACTGTCTAGTTTCTAGGCAGGCTAAAAGCAATGGCCTTTGGGACAGACTATGAATGATAGCCGGAAGTTCACTTGGCTAGGCAATGCTAGTGAGACAGACCAATGCTAGTGAGATAGTCCTGAGTAAGAATAACAGCAGGATGGCCAGACTCATCACTTTTACATGAGTACAAGTGTGAAGTGAGATGTTTTATGGTGAGACTTCATGAATCAGTTGGCACGATCAAACCTGCTGCCACACATTAGAGCTGTTTGATGTCACACCATTGCATGTGGCTGTGTTTGTCTCTCTTCTGTTTATTGTGCGTGTGTATGTGTGTATGTCTGTGTGTTTGTGCCTATGTTCTAACCACGATGCAGGAAGTTATGACCTGAAGCGACAAAGGTGAGAAGAGTAGTGGCTTGAGCGGGTAGCACAATGCTTGCTCGGCGCCAGTGTCAGGGCCAGCAGTACTCGAGTAGAATGGACTGGTGTCCATGGGTATTTCACACATACAGTGACTTCACACCCAGCACAGCACTCACATTCATCTGCCACACTGCAATGTATACGTGTGAGCAATCAGAAATACTCGCACTAGTGTGAACTTTTTTCAGCTGATGCTGTCACCGTGAGGACGAGATATGTCTAGTGGCACTTGCTCAAACAAACATAAATACACACACACACACACACCACACACACACACACACACACACACACACACACACACGCACACCACACCACACACACACACACACACACACACACACACACACACACACACACACACACACACACACACACACACACACACACACACACACACACAGAATACACAGAAAATATTTAGACTTATAAATTCTGGTTACCGGTACAGTCATCCCTCTCTAATCCGGCACTTGTTTATCCAGCACCCTTGCAAACCAGCACACTTTCTGGCAAAACGGATTTTTCAGTTCATTTTCTACGCTTTAATCCGGCACTTGAATTCCGCCTCCAGCAGCGATTTTCTGCAACAAATCACTCAAATTGTACACAATTCGATTTTCTAATCCTGCAGTTGTACATCGCATACCGTCAGGGAGCATTGTAACATACACAACACATGTAACATACACTTGGGAATATCCTATGCACTCGTATTCCCAAGTGTGTGTTATAGATATGCATTCCACGAAGTACTTGGATTGACACAGAAAATCCCTACGTTTTGACGTACGACACAAACATGTACGTTAATAGGTAGGCCGGGTTGGAGGGCAGAATTTTATAATCCAGCACCCTTGTTTATCCAGCAGAAAATGCCGTTGCAGAAGGTGCCGGATTAGAGAGGGACGACTGTATACTGGTAAGACACCATGTATGGTAAAGCCATGTGGTTCAAGTCTTGGTGGTGAAAATCGGTTCCGGCTTTCTTCAGACGTTTGCTTTCATTTCTCCCTTGGAACTGATGAATACGATGCACTATAATATAAAGCGTGAATGTTCGTGGTCTTTCAATTTCTGTGTCCATATCCCAGAGCTCTTGCAGAACAACACCCGAAGCCATCCAGTCCTGCATCTCCAACACAGTTTGCTCCCATTCCTCTTTCGGTGTACAACGATACCACCAACAATGTCGACAATCGGAGAAGTAGCTCCAAACGGAAGAGTCGCCGGAGCTCCAGCCGAGATGCCGAAGAAGCCCCGCGGGAGATGGCCACCGTAGCGAATACAAGCGCGCTGAACGAGGATACTCGCCAGTCACAAGGAGAAGCTGATGGCCGACATCTAATCTTCCCGGGCACACTGACTGGCAGCACGTCACCTTATCCACCGCAAGCACCCACCGTTCCCCACCACCATCTAGTGCAGCAAACGCCGCAAGGGAATGCTGAAAACTTGCGGCACACGGCCGGTTACGCTAACGGATCTCCAGACTATCCCGCTAACACCGGTACACTTGGCAGCAATGCTCCGCTCATTGAACGAACAGACAGCAGCACTTCGGAGCGCCCTACGCCCAAAGAACGAGCGTCGTTGCGAAAGAAACGGACCAAATTGTCGCAGATGCTCGACGAAGGCAGCGATGGTAGCAGGCCAGCGCCAAGACCCCGTGCTAGCGTCCGCTCCAAGCCAAGCGGACATCAGGACAGTCCCAGCAGTGCGTATTTAGCAGCAGCGGCGGCGGATCGGGGAGATGATATCATTGAGAATGAGGCAGTGGAGCAGCCTGAGATCACTACAGATCAGTCGTCAGATCAAGCCAGCAATCCATCCAATGACGACCTCCCCGCGGAACGACCAGCACCTGAGGGCAGCAGTGCAGTGCCGTATCCGGTTGGTGGCGGCGTAATGGAAGGACCAAGGATCGGCCATCGCATGCCAACACGACCGCCGCCAAAGCCGCCATCGGTATCTGCAGCCACGCCGCCACTGCCTCCACCACCGCCGCCACCACCACGTCACACAAGGCCAAGCTTAGAAGCAAGCACAACGGAGGATGCTGCGCCCGCTACCTTGCCACCCGAAACACGTGGAACGGTGCCGTTCATGCATTTCGACTTGACCCAACAGCACAGCGGGGCCAGTGCAATGAGTTATGCCGCCAAGGAACGACCCGATAGCTATGTCATTGACCTATAGCACCACTGCTTGCGTGACGTGACACGATCCTGGTCAATATATGGTGCTGTGCACATGGAAGTGCCATGAGCTGTGATACGTACTGCCAGTGTCTTCTGCACTGAGCTCAGCTACACAGACAGGCAGAGTGGGATCCGGACACCTGCAAGTCACTGTCAGCTTTCCTGATAGGCATGGTACGGCAACAGTCGGCGAAAGTGTCGTGGGTTACAGCGTCGTTCCCACCTGCAAGGCACTTCTACAGGGTACTATTGAAATGCCTTGGTAGTGGCAATCCTGTCGACAGGACAGTACACACACGCCCAGCAGAACAATACTGTGGTCCTTGAGAGATATTCTTGCATGCATGACTACGCACAATGACAACACAGCCTGGAGTGATATTCGTAATCCGGAGTTTGATATTATGAAGCTAGCATGCAGCTACACATAAATGATCTGTCCTTTCATTATTACTAAAATGTGAGAATTGCAAGACTACGGCTACAATCAGACATATCAGAGCTGACACTTTACTGCATGTACATGTAGCAAGGAGACAACATTACACCACTGCTGCTGCTGCAGCGTATGTAACCATGCAGCACTGACACTAGCGTGCACATGTCATCGTATTGTACAGACAGAAATTATTATGACCTTGCCACTACAGGCATGTCGGTACGTGCATGTCACTGTATGGTTCACACTGCACACTGCACATACGGTTGTAGGTACAATGTCATGTACAACATTGGTACTACGTGCATACGGTTATGTGTTGAGATGCTTCTGTTACCGGCCTGCTTCTGAACAGGGAGTAGTACAATACACGGTATTGTACTACTCCCTGCTTCTGAAGGTCTGGACCACGCTTACGCAGGGTGCTTTAAAGGTTGATTCTATTTTAGCGCTGCGGGATGTTGATGCATTCGATATTCCCGCTCTTCAGCTTTTGCTCAGTTCTTGCTATTGCATACCATTATCACTAAACCATACTATAGGACTGTGTCTTCCTTATGCAGAATGGATGTTCTGCGCATGTGACAGTTGAGCTGCTTCATGGTACAGTTATTGCTACAGTTGAGTAAAAATAGCAATCGGCATACAAGACCACAATGTACTTCATATGTGGGGGGGGGGGGGGGATGCGTATTTGCTATGCAACAACTTTCTCCCCACGCCCTCAATTTCAATTTGCGTTGATTAGTCAAGCCATGCACCGTTTAGTTGCACATTCAATCTCGAAAGCGGGAGGGGGGGGGGGGGCAAAATGTGACTGAGGGCGCAGCAGCACACCAACATATCGCTTTGGCTACAAACTCTCAGGCTTGACAAAAAAACAACGCCATCATTTCATTCAAAGATATTACAAATCTTATTACCTAGAAATACACAATAAGGAAGGGCACTGCAACGTAATGATAGAAGGACAACGAACAAAAAATGGCACACGGCAACAAACAAAAGTCACACAACATAGTATAATAGTAAACCAGAGCAGTGCAGAGACAACGCGGCATCGAAAAGTTACATGTCCAGGCCAATATTATAGGGGAGATTGTACAATAATTATAAACGTTCTCGGACCATAATATAATTATGTGAGAACATAGATTGACTAGTATAGCAATGATTTCAAACAAAGATAGCCATCAAAAAGATAGAATGACGAAATATAGGAGGTCCCCGGCGCGGCCAACACAAGACGAGTGACAGCAGAGAACGTTAATGGCTCTGTATTACAGTGAGCAGCAGCAGCAGGATCTGTGAGGCAGACATCCTCAGTACCATGAAGCAATGTCCTGCGACCGACTCTTGTGTCACCATCTCATGCTCGCGTGTTACTATCTAACATCATAACTGCAGGGACTACTCTACTACAAGCTGTGTGCAGGGGCAGGGCAGAGCAGGGCAGGGCAGGGCAGGGCAGGGCAGGGCAGGTCAGGGCAGGGTAAGGGCAGGGTAGGGTCTTCACAAGATATTGCCGCAAACAAACCAAACCAAGGACGATGCTGGATGAATGATGCGAAGCAGTTAGAGAGTATGTCATTGGAAGACAGAGAAGAGAAAGAGAGAGAGAAAGAGAGAGAGAGAGAGAGAGAGAGAGAGAGAGAGAGAGAGAGAGAGAGAGAGAGAGAGAGAGAGAAAGGAGAGTTCACACTCATCAGATAGACACCAGGTGCACGCTGGAGCGAGCATATGCAATAGTAACATTATGAAAACTGCCATCAAACGTTTCACTCAATTAGACGACCGTGAATACAGACGCAACGGCGAAAATAGCGCTATAGACATGGGGTTCATGCAGGATGGGAGTTCTACTCCTAGGTGTGTGGGTGTGGGAGAGGGGGGGGGGGGGGGTTGAATACAAGACTTTTCACAGTTCATAATGACAACAACATTCGGCAAATGCATGTGATGAATACACTCCTTGCCAGCAAATGTACATTCTTCTTTGCCAGCCACGGGCGAGCCCCCGGGCATGGCATGCACTCTTGTCCATTACCTCCAACAGGAAACTATACATTAGCCAGTGTCTGCAGCCCGTGCACTTGTCGTCCAACGGACACCAACATGTTCAATGTTCTAGCGTAGCTCACGGGATGAATGTGCAGAACAGTCACCGGTCCACCAGTGGATGGCTTCTCCTGGATCTGCTCGGCAACACGAAGGAATATTACGGCGTTCATGCGTTGCCGCCTCCTGCAGCTGCGTCACCGTCCTTGCGTTGCTTCCGCCTATGCCGATGCTCCTTGCCTTCGGCGCCCTCGCCTTCCTCTGCATGGCGCTTCTTGTGTTTCTTGTGCTTCTTCTTCTTGGCCTTGCTTGCAGATGATGATGATGACGATGGAGATGCTGCTGCACCTTCGCCATCATTCTCGCCTGCGTCTAGCGAGTCCGGCGTGGCCGTAGAGTGAGAGGGACTTGAAACGGCACCACTTTCAGACCCAGACTTCTGCCGTGCTTCCCGAACCGGAGTGGACCGTAGGGCATGGCCACCAACCTCCACAGTGTTTTCTGACGCAGCAGCAGCGGCTTCCGTTGAGGCAACTTCCGCCGCAGCAGCTTCTGTTGCGGCGGCTTCTGTCGCCTCGACTTCATCAGCCCAAGACGTTGTTCTCGGCTTCTCTGCAAGAATATCTTGCTCGTCTCCTCTATCTTCAGACGGCGATGAAACTATGACCTCCGGGGTGGTGCGGGTTGGCTCAGCTGTTTCGGGTGCTGCAACAACCTCAGTGGAGGCCTCTACACTGCCAACCTGCTCTGGCACAGCAGCACTGCTCTCTGCAGGTTGACTGACTGTGTCTGTGGGCAGACTGACTGCCTCTGTGGGCTGACTGACTGCCTCCTCTGGTGGGCTGACAGGTTCAGATGGTGGAGTGAGAGGCTGGCTGGATGCATTGCTCAGAGGCTCAGTTGTCCCTGTCGACGCTGGAACAGCCTGAGATACAGCGCTCTGCACATACACAAGAACGAAAAGCACAGACGATTCATATCTTAGGCAGCCCATCATCCGATTACCACTGATACCCTGTCACATAAATATTGCTAAGCGGAGCATCTTCTGAAGTATGCAAGGATCATAATTGGACCACAACTACGTAAGCCTGGTCTTTCACCACACAGCTCGTGATAGCGGCGGTGTCTTCTGAACAATGCCCCCCCCCCCCCCTCCCCTCCATACAAACAGTGCACTACAGGGAGTACGGCTCTGGAATTCGAAACCAGTGAATGAAAGTGAAGCAAGCAGTTCTTTTCAGACCAGTCGGCTGCTAGCACGCACAAACCGAGTACATGTACATGAATTATCTAACTGCTTGGGAAGAAGCAATAGAACTCACCACCTGCGAAACTAAAGATGCGTCCAAAGACTGGAGCTCTGCAGGTGATGAGAGAGAGAGAAAGAAAGAGAGAGAGAGAGAGAGACTCACACACACAAACACACAAACACAGATAAAAGGAAGTAATGAGGATGACATTATCGTATTGTATGGAGCAGCAAATGAGTGCTTAGGACATCATTCATCAGTAAAAATCTCAAATGCTGACGTAATCACGCAACCTGTTTTTTTAATTTGCACCTTCAATCCCGTTGCAACCTTAAAGGGGAATGCCCGCAGGCTACAACTTAAAGTCTGCAGGCACGGCGACCAGGCGACTGGTGTACGCACGAGCACGTGACCGCTTACTCAACCGTGTTCGATTGGGAATAAGGGCCGTGCGCTGCATCGCAGCCTTTTCGGACCAAATAAATCGACTCAGGGTCCAAAAGGCTACAACATACGGGCCAGGATAGATCAGATCCACCAACCAGAGGCCAAAGGCTGAAATCCCATTTACCACATCCATTCGAACTTTCCTACAATAGACTTACCGCTCTCAGGAGGCTCGTACCCATCGCACACTACAAACTTCACAGTCTGGCCAATACTCTTGAGCACGTGGACTGCCTCGTGGTGAGTGGCTCCAAGCAGTGTGTTGCCATTCACCTCCAGGATGCGCTGGCCTTGGCGGAACTTTCCTGATCGGTGAGCCGCACCGCCAGGGTTAATCTGCAGCAGAGAATGTCATGTAGAGAACAGATAGAGACCATGATGAGAGTATGCAGTGAATTGAGAGAGTATTATTTTGTGCTTGGAAATCCACATGTACACACACACACACACACACACACACACACACACACGCACACACACGCACACACACGCGCACACACGCACGCACACACACACACGCACACACACACACGCACACACGCACGCACACACACACACGCACACACGCACGCACACACACACACGCACACACACACCTTCCTTCCTTCCTTCTTCTCCACTGCCATGACTGGCTAAGTGGCCCCCGGATGATACGGGGCAGCTCTTGGATTAGCGCTGTCTCCGGGAAGCGGCACCAGGACCCAACGACTGACGTGACGGCGCATTCCCACGGGTTATAATTGCTATTGAACGCCGCGATGTAGTCGGTGTTGGGTGACCACTTGTCAAAACTAAGCAATCTCCGACAGTATATTGATGAGAGCCAAACCAAAGCGTCTCCTGGAGGCCAACGATGTCCATTCCATACTTTTTGAGCTGACGACACACAAGGTCAATTTTTCTCTCCTCGTGAATATTCGAACAAACTTTCCTTGATTTTTTTGCTTTGGACGCCGTATTCAAATTTCCGTCAGTGTCGACGTTCCACGTTCCCAGAGACAGAACAACCTTTCGAGCCGCTGGTGCACACACACACACACACACACGCACACGCACACACAAACGCACACACACGCGCACACACACACATGCACACACACACACACACACACACACACACACATTCACACACGCACACACGCACGCACACATACACCTGCTCGTGTGTCGAGTTAAAGCTTGTGCATGTGTGATATCGATCGCTAGGTTGTCCGATATCAAAATCATTACATGACACCATGTGTATGCAAGCCGTGTCCCCATCTGCCAGACCACACTTTTTAACTAATCATAACTATAGGTCAATGCAGACACGTCGCCGCTTACTACCAGTGTTCAACGTTACCTTGGAGATGAATATACCCTCGTCTCTGTCGTCAAACGGATTGCCAGACTTGGCTGCACCGCTGCCCCCACGGATGCTCATTCCCAGCTTCTCCTCAGGGGCCTTTGCAAACACAACCTGAGAACACAAACGGAGAATGAAGTTGAAAAGTTCACTGCAGCTATACTTATGGTTGATTCATATGGTGGTAAATACAACACAAACAAGTGGAGCAAAACAAATCAGCATGATGCGCAGTCGCCGCTGCAGCCGCTGTACAGCCCACAGCTGGTGAGTTCTATCTTCCCTTGAAGATCACAGGCCACAGCAATTCCCTACACTAATTAGACAATTCCTTCATCTATAATCACAAGCTCTGTTGCTAAACCCTTGCAGAAAGTGCTCAATGCCACGAGGGCAGAGCCAAAACACAAGTAACAGTTAGTCACCAATGGGACTTGGCTGAATTTTAAAAGCTGTAATTCAGCTATATGTATATCTGTAACTCAGCTATAACCCTAGGCACTGACCAGCGGTATCATCGTTATCAACGTTCTAATGTCCGCTTCGTTAATAATTTTGATCGCACTATTAAACTCTTTTCTCCAAGTCGCTTATTCGTTGACTGCACTCCTCACTGACCTCCATTATACCGGGCGGTGGGCCGACGTGACGCACAATCAGCTTCAGCACGGACGTGCCGACCAGACACGCCACAGCAGTGCTGTGCTGGGTGCCGGTCAGCTCGCTGTCGTTCACAGAGATGATCTGATCGCCCACGCGCAGCTGACCACTCGACGCCACCAAACCATCAGGAACAATCTGTAACAATAGGGGTGGAAGCAAACCGACATAACTAAGTTTAATATCTAAGCAAATAGCAGCATCTCGGTTCGATGACCTTCTAGTGTGCTCTGGATGGCAGTCGTGAGTCAGTCAAGTGTCAAGTCGGCAAAAAAGCACGAGCTCTAGTGTTGGGAGAAAACCCTTTCCTAGCAGCATCTCCTTCATATTATCGACAAGCAGGTCCACCCACAACGCCCATTGTAATTCCGGCTGCGAGCCAGGAACAGAAGATGACACTCACAAGCACGCTTGTCTCTTGCCATCATGAACACAAACACAACTCGTAGCAGCAGCAGCAGCAGCACAGTTTACCAATCCTACAGCTAAAGAGACTACCTATTACCTTGGATATGTAGACACCTTTGTCATCTGGAGCCTGACTGCCAAATGGCAGGGGGGAAGTGTCGCTCCCACCAACAATCGTCATACCGAGAGCTTCTTCGCCACGGTTGATCGTCACCATCTAGATCAGTGTCATAGACGAAGAAAAGAGCATTGTTACATGGGTACTACTGTCGTCGACAGATTATTTGTTGTTGTTCACCGAGAGTCTCAAGAAGAAGGCCTCCAGGAAGGAAATGCGTACACATAAATAAAGTGTGCATGCGCTCTGCGGCGCAACCTGCGCAGTCCGCACGTGGTTCACATGCCAACCGCGCGGATACAGCGCCACACAGAGCACATGCGCCAAAAGAGGACCGACCTCGTAGAGGTCACGGACAACATTCGGGTACACTGGGTACACTGGGTACACTGGGTACACTGAGTGTACTGGGTACAGGAAACCTGAGGAAATACATTGTAACAATACAACAGAGACCTGCAAATGGGGGTGCGATATGCAATTGGAGAAATACGGTATGCAAACACATGCCATGCCAGAAAGGAATACGCTGACGTCTCGCGGGAGAATTGCAGGCATCTTTCCCCACTGACCTCCATGCCCTCGACTAGCGTCCTCTCTTCCGGCAGTGCAACCAGATTTCTCTTGGTCTCCTCTGGCGTCGGCGGTGTGTCCGTGCGCCGCTCAAGGTCATCCTCGTCATTGTCCTGAATGAGGCACACATACACGCAAAACAAATGCCAGAACAGCAGAGTGTCAGCAAACACACAGGCAGATGCAGCATTTGTCCACAGGGTGAAGGTGTAAAACTATGGATACGCCGGGGGATCCTACCCACAAACAAAAACAGGGAGAATGGGATAGGCACATATACCATTTGTCCACAGGCCTAACCCCTACCCTAACCCTAACCCTAGCCCTAGCTTCACTCTAGCTCTGCCCTTCACGTCCTTAACCCTTAACCTAGGGCATGTTCGATTGGTAAGGATCGGGATCAGGATCCAGATCTCAGATCCATCGGATCCTTCAGATTCAACTGAACACTTTATTTTGGACCTTGACTGTTGCCATGTTGACAATGGCGCTCACAAATCACCCAAAAGGATGAACGTCGTATTCATCGCCTCCGTCGTACAAAAAGTCAACAAGTTCTATCTCCATCCACGTGTGCGTATCACAATGTGTACAAAAATGATTTTTACCCGCCATATACGCACAAAGGTCACATTTGGATCCGTTGGATCTGGTCAACCCTGCTCCCCGAGGTGGGTTGACCGGATCCAAATCCGAAGGATCCGGATCCAGATTCGACCAATCGAAAGGGTGCGAATCCAGTGGATCCGGTGGATTGGGATCCCGATCCTACCAAACGAACATGCCCTAGGCTGCATTCGATTGTGGAAACTGGATCCCGATCCCCGCTGACCAGATCACTTCGATCGGACGGATACAATCGAATGTGCACCTAATCTTAACCCTAACCCTAACCCTCACTTAACCCTTTACCGGCGGCCCATACATTTATTGATCACGAATGATCGATAAGTTCAACCATTTCAATAAACTTGGTCAATTCTCGGTCGTTTGCAGAAAACTAACTACAGTGTTTTAGTATGTAGATAGAATAGAGTCCACCATACAAACTCACCATACAAACTCACCATACAAACTCACCATACAAACTCACCATACAAACTCACCATACAAACTCACCATACAAACTCACCATACAAACTCACCATACAAACTCACCATACAAACTCACCATACAAACTCACCATACAAACTCACCATACAAACTCACCATGCAAACTCACCATACAAACTCACCATACAAACTCATGGATAAACAGTGGTAGCTGCAAACGTACAACAGACTACTGTAAAAGCCATTATTCTAACGAGGCGCATATATAACGATTTCCCAAAATTGACTGGTTTACGTGTACCAAAGGTAACGATTCTCACTCATTCTCAACGCTCAATAGGACAGTATACGTATCGATTTCTGTATAACGATTTCTATTTTAACGACAGATTTCTCCTCGTTAACTCGTTAGAGTTAACACTTCGTTACATATATGGCTTTTACAGTAGTCAAAGATAGGGGCAAGGCAATGGTCATGCAATGGTCTATCATACCTTCTCCACAACGGCTGGAATGACATTGATTGTCACTGGTGCCGACTCGTCCGTGTAGACTTCCCGGCGCAGTACAAACTTCACAGTTCCGTCGGTGGCCTTCAACACCGATACTGCTTGCTCGTGTGAAATTCCACCCGTGTAGTCTGTATCATTCACCTATAGTTCAACCAAGACAGAGAGCGAGAGAGAGAGAGAGATAGATAGATAGATAGATAGATAGATAGATAGGGGGGGGGGGGGGGGGGGGGGGAGGGAGGGAGGAGGGAGGGA